GCCTTCTCCTGAGCTTCACGCTGAGCCTTCTCCTCAGCTTCACGCTGAGCCTCAGCTCTCTTCTGAGCTTCGCGAAGAAGGAGTTCCTGCCTCTCAACCTCAAGACGAGCCTTCTCCGAAGCTTCACGAAGAGCCACACGACGAAGTTCTTGCTGCCTCTCATCATCAAGACGTGCCTTCTCCTCAGCTTCAAGCTGAGCCTTCTCCTGAGCTTCACGCTGGGCCTTCTCCACAACTTCACGCTGGGCGTTCTCCTCAACTTCACGCCGAGCCTTCTCCTCAGCTTCACGCTGAGCCTGAGCCTTCTCCTGAGCTTCACGCTGAGCCTTCACCTGAGCTGCACACTGAGCCTTCTCCTCAGCTTCACGCTGGGCCTTCTCCTCAGCCGCACGTTGAGCTTCACATTGCTCAACACCAGACTTCTCCTCGCTTTCACGTTCAAGCCTTTCCTCAGCATCCTTCTCCTTCTGAGCTCTTAGGCAAAGAAGCTGAGCCTCAGCATCAAGTAGAGCCTTCTCTTCATCATGTGATGCACCGCACATGGCCCTCTGACCGTCAAAATCAAGAACAGCTCCCACTGGAATTTGGTATGGGTCAAACTGCGAGTGTTCAGCAGCCGCTGCATTGGAATCGTAGCCCTGAGTATCCATCGTGTCAACGGACTCTTTGGAGCTTGCCACCGCGTGGGCCAGGCGCCTTTGCTCCAGAGCATGCCTCGGCTGCGGCAGATGGAACACATGGATCAAAAGATATCAAAAGCAACATATACAACCTATCGACTATAGAGTTGTGGCGGCAGTTCATGGCCTGAAAAAAACTAACCAAATAGGATACAAGCTGCTTGACCCGTGCAATCCTGTCATTGACTTCTTCGAGTGAAGGCTTTGCTGGGTCGCCGCAATCAACATCCATGGTCTCACTGACGATTCCCCGCTCTGCTTGCTCAAGGGACTGATGCTCCAACAAAACGAGGTCCGCCCCGTCATCATCAGCAATCTCAATTGGAGACTCATCAACTGCCGAGGTGTCAGGCAAGGCTTTCCTCCGTGCAGCACGCTCCTCGTGCAGCTTTTTCAAAGCTTCACCCCAATGCTTGTTGATGATGTCAAAGTACTCAGTCACACCGAATGCCTGGGCTTGGACCGCAGCCTATCACTAAACCTTGTGCTATAGTTCAATATTGTTTTACAAATATGTTCAAAAAAGAAAACATATGTCTTAAACCATCCAGATTGCCTTCCGAGTTGGAGTGTACTCGGGGCCATGCCTGCTGTCTAAGCCGGTTCGCCTCAAACTGTATGAGAAGATCTTTTTCAAAGCCCAGGCATCTTGGTGAATCTTCACGGGATCCCACTTGCAGCCAAGAAGATTCCTCAACTTCCAGACCTGACAGCACATGAAATGCCAACAAAGCCAGGTGGAGAGCGCCATATGAACCAATAAAGTGAACACACACATAAGTTAACACTGGTTTACTTTGTTCTTTCACCCAGGCCCAGGCCTGCGACTTCAAAAAATCAATAGCAGGAGCTTTGACCACGGAATGACGTGAGCAGTGGTACGATGCCACGGCAGACATCACTGAGATGTTCAAACCCAAAACTTCTAGGGTGATGACGTTTTCCTGCTTCATCCATTGAACGAGCCTGCCACACTCCCTGAGGGCAGAGCGTGCAGCTCTACAATTCTCAAGCTCCAAGGCCAACCCGAAGTCTTCAACCTTTTGTTTCTTGGGCTTGGGACTGGGCTTCAAGTCACCTGCCGCAAGAGTTTCTCCTTTCACATTTGGCTCCAAGAGCTCCCGCTTCATAGTGGCCATGAACGGGGTATCAGCACCACAATCGCGCACAACAGCCTAACTTCCTAGCCAGCCAAATGTAATAGCGCACCAGTTTTGCATGGCATGCCTTGTATTACAAGTTCATTTAAACTATTGGATGCGACACATACGTGTATAGCAAAGCTGATGACAGACCCTTCACTGCCCAAGCGAGCCAAGCCCACCTCCAGGAGATGATGAGCTTGCAAATCTTCATGGCCGAGAAAAGATGCGAAGGGTGACGGATGGAAGGGAATTGGAACAGTAAAATCTAATGAGACTTACAAACTAGTGTAATATGTTCCTGTCTTTGGTCCTCAATGGTGGTTCCATTGCACCAAGAGCTTGAAATCTTGAAAACATATAAAACTGCCGCTGACACAGATTTCAGCCGCTGAATCTGAAAACCATTTTTTGATCTGAAGGCAAAAAAAGAGCAAGCCTATGAAGATATAGGTATCTCTATTAAACAAAAAAAAAGCAGCCATATGCCTGGGTCCGGTCAATGGATCCCGAAAACCAGTCTCTTGGGTCTCTTGGGTCGCACCCCACTCCGCCAATTCATCACAACTTGTATACTTGTACTGGGTCAAAAACAGTGGACCAGTGGCCGACCAGGCGCCCTGGTAGCATCCACGAAATCATCTCCAAGCGACCACTTCTCTCAAAAACGCGCTCTGCTGCATCTGGAGCCGCTCGCCGGACCCGTGCAACCTGCCCCACTGGCGGCTGAGTAGGCGCAGGCGCAGGCGCAGGCGCAGGTGGTGCAGCTGCAGGGGGAGGTTCTTTGGGCTCCTTCGGCTGAGGGAATCAAGGTGGATGCTGAGTCCTGGCCTGGGTACCAGTTCTCCGACGGATCAAGGTTGGTGGGTCTGAAGAGTCGGTGCATGATGCGACGCGACTTCTCAGTCCTGGATCCCGACATGTCTGTTGTCCTTTGTGCGATTCTTGTCCTGAAGCCCCTTGACTTGGGGGAGGGACCCTCATGTACCCACTAGGTAGCTTGAGACTCCAAGTGGACCTTCGCTAACCCCAAGAAATGGTTGGGAGTGCACCCACTGACCTAGGAATCTAGGAAGTTGCAAATGTAGGATTGGGGAGAACCGCACCATTCAGTACAGTCATGAAATAAGAGTCTCTGACATTTGGGAGGAAGGGTTTGACACTAGTACCACCTTGTACGACCTGGAAAAGCCAAAGTCACCAAACACTCTGTGAGTGACGTGGTGGTTCCAATCGCCAGCCCGTGATTTCTCGTGCTGTCCAACCCATGAGTCCCGAGGCGTGCAGAACCCATGAGTCTCTCTCTCTCACCGGATTCCCATGAGTCTTTGGAGCGCT